GTGCGTGTGTGGGTGTGTGTGCGTGTGTGGGTGTGTGTGCGTGTATGTGTGTGTGTGTGGTGTTGTGTGTGTGTGGTGTTGTGTGTGTTCGCCTATGCGTGTGTCACCGGACAATTGCAAGTGCGTGTGTGTATGCGCGCCTGCTTGTTCAATAAAATGAACTTTGTGACCGGCCAATGAATCGACTGGCAACAGCATCCCGCAGCGCCTGCACAGACCATTGAAACATCAGAGCTCCGGTGCGGCCCCTGCGCACCGTCCGAGCCCCTGCCACATTCGACTCGGCCTGCACTCTTGCCCCAGCAAACCTACCAGCCCAGCCCCTTTCCCCCGCCTCCCCCTGTGCCCACCTCTTGTTGTGGAGGCTCTCGGCCGTCTCAACCGCCGCCGCCTCCTCCTTGGCGCCCTTGGCCCCGACCGCTGCCCGCTTGGCGCCCGCGCCGCCCGGCTTGCCCTTGCCCCCGCCGCCGCCGGCCTGCAGTTGTCGCGCGTAGTAAAACATGACGATGGGGGCAGGATTTAGGGCTGGAGAGATGCAAGGGGGCGCAAGTGAAGTTTCGGAGCGGGTTGACTGCAAGAAGCCGAAAGGGCGCCCTCAGAACGATCAGCAGGTGCTTGACAGGGCAGGCAGGGACAGGCGGGAGGCTGCCGCTGGGGGATACGAGGGCACGCTGCAGGCATCAAGCAGGGGCATGGGGCCGTGTTGTTGTGCCCCATTTGCAGCGAGGTGGGCGAGGGACCGGGCCGTGTGCAGCAAGGGAGGTGGGAGCAGGGAAGCGTCGACATCCAGGACAGCCAAGTCAGAATATGCAGGAAGAGACGAACATCCCCGCAAACACTGTGCACTGGCTCACTCTAGTGGGAGCCGTACAACCACACGCCCCCTCACATGGTTGCCTAAATCAAAAAGAGTCCCTGGATCCACCCAATGGGCCCCAAAAATGCGAATGCTAATTCGAGATGCACAAGGGGGAGGGTGGGGGCCATCACACCCCAAAACTCACCTTTGTCCGGTCATAAAAGTCGTCGTCGTCACTGGAGGCGTTTGCGTACTCATCGTCGTTGTCCGCCCGCCGCTTGCGCTTTTGAGCCTTTGCCTTGTCCTCTGCGCCGGCCTGCGGCGGAACATCGGTAGTGCCCAAGAGTGGGGGTGCGGTGGGGCAGGTGACAGTGTGTTGTGTGTCACGGATTGCTCAGCTGCACACACTTAAGGCCCCCTCAAACATGATACACACGGCGCCACTTGAGGTAAACACTTCAAGCTGTGCACTCCAGCCAATACACCTGCACGAATGGCCCCGCGCCGTGGGCGAAGTCCACATCCCACACCCCCCCTCCAACCTATGGGCCCACAAACCGCCCGGGCACGGCCCCATGCCAAATGATTTTGCGACCTCCCCACATCCTCACTTATGCGCTCAAACCGCGACGTCGACCGCGCGAGCACTCGTTCGCGCCCTTGCATAAGCAACACGACAAGCCCCCTGCCGTTGAGAACAGCGCCTGCGCGGTCGCCGATTGGCCGCCGGCCCGGGCAGCCACAGCCGCGTCATCCCAGGACGCCCACCTTTGCTGCCGCGCGGCCCTTGACGGCCGCGGTGACGCTGTCCCCCATCTCCTCCTCCAGGTCCTCCAGCTCTGACGTCAGCGCGTCCATCGCGCGCTCGTTGCGCACCTGGACGATGGGAAGTCGGGCAGGCGATAGGTGGTTGGCGGCGGGAGGTTTGGCAAGAGGAGGGTGCGTGGGAGTGGGAAGTTTGGCGAGCGTCTTGGCGGTGCGAAGGATGTGGCTAGGGGCTGGCGATTAGATAAGGGCACGTGCCGATAGCACCACCGGCGGCTCGTGGGGGGCATGAGGGGTTGCGAGGCCGGGCAGAACGGCGATTGGCTCGATTGCGGCTGGGCCCCGCAGGGTTTTGGGGGCTGGCCCCTCACTGATGCTGGGCCACTGCCAATCCGTACACATGAAGGCTGAATCCGTCGCTCGCCGCGAGCTCGCCTCACCAGCGTCGCGGCCTGGCCTGGCGTGAGCCCGCCCTCCTGGGCCTCCTTGGCCTTGATCTTGTCGTTCTCAGCCCTGAGGTTTGACACCTTCCACTCCCGCTTCCTGGGGGCGGGTTGGATACAATCGATGGTCGGCCGGTGAGTTTTGCGATGAGTGCTGGACTGAGGGTTGAAAGGCGGCGAGGGGCGCGGGTTTTCCGGGCGGCAGGCGCGGAGCAAGTGGGCAGCCGCGCAGCAGCGAGCCCGCCAGCCACCTCTCAGGCCCAGTATCATGTTTGAGCCAGGCGTACCAAACCTGATTCTGAAAGCACACTGCAACGCAGCAGCCACTACCCCTGCTCCTCTTGCCTGCACCCCCAATTGCCCCACGCAACGTCCACCATTGATCACCCCCTGTGCTCTCCCCCGACCCCAAAACGTGTGCCAACACCCCCCAAATCCACCAGGGCGCAGCGCTGCACCTTCAGCCCAGCGCTGTCCTATGGAAGCCCTCTGCCCCCCAAAACATGCGCACAAGCCTCTCTCGCAAGATTTATGCCCCGGGGCGCGCCCTCCCACCCCGCCCACCGCACCTGATGCGGTCCAGGAGCTTCTGCTGCTTCTCCGTCGGCGCATTCTTTGCCAGCCACTTCCGCCAGTCGACCTCACCCCCCTCCACCGCGGTTGCCCCATCATCCTCGTCCCCCATTCCCCACGACACCTCGCCGCCGCCGCCGCCGCCGATCGCCGCCGCCATCTGCTGCTTCGCCTTCTCCTCGTCCCTGTCGCGCGCCTTCTGAGCGGCTTCCAAGGCCGCCAGCTGGCGGCGTTGCTGGCGGCTGAGGCCCTCCTCGGGCATCAGGCTCGCGGGGCCGGCCAGGAGGTACATTCGGCTGCTCTGGCCAAAGCGGAAAGTGTCGCCGACCCTGCGGTTTCAGGGTTTGGAAGAGGTTGAAACAGGCGAGGAGAGCCCCAGAGTTGCGGGGAACGGAGGGGTGCAGGCAGCCAGGCGATCATGGAGCAAAATGTGAAGTAAGGGGGCTTGGGTGGGGGGAAACAAAGCCAGTCAGAGTGCCCCCCATGGTCAGCCACCGCGCGTCCTCCCCACCCAGCGGCCAGGCCTTGAGACCCCATGATAGCCTGGCTGCCTGCACCCCTCCCATCAGGCCTTCGGACCCAGGGTCCCATCCCCAGACCTCGGCCAAGCGTGATAGGGCCCTCGTCCTGCACACCAAACAGAGCTGCGGTACAAAAATCCGAGTCAAGCACTGCGGGCCCCTCCCCAGGCCAAAGCAGCGCAGCCCGATCATCAGCCGCAGATGTGCAACCTCGGCTGGCCCCCGCCCCCCTTCCACCTGAGCGGGACGTGCGCCCCAGGCTTGAGCCGCTGCCGGTTGAGGAAGGTGCCGTGGGTCGAGCCGCAGTCGAAGAGGAACGCCTCCCCGCTGGAGGCGTTGAACTGCAACACAGCATGCAGCCTATGGGAAGCAGAGGTTGGGGCGATTGGGATGGCAGTGGAGCGTTGTTCCGTGCATGCGCGTGGGGAGACGCACTCGCTCAAATGCGCATGCCCAATTTGAACAGACGAGCGCCCAACTTGAATTGATTTCGCGTATGTTTTTAAGTGGTGCACGTGTGAGTGCGCATGCACGTGGGATTGCGTGTGTGCAGTTGTGTTCTGATGCACACGGTAGTCTGTGTCCATTCAAGGCGGACGGGGGAGCACAAAGCACCGCATGCCAGTAACCAGTGATGCCATCGGAATGAGTCAGTGATGTCTTATGACAGCGCTGGGCTGAGCAGTGCTCGCACAGCGGGCTGAGCGGCTGCTTTGTGTTTTGGCGACTCAGCCTGAATTAACCACAGCATAGACACTGCACAGGGCACGCTGCCCGGCGCAGCCTCCGGCCCTCCTTGTCACAAAAGATGCGTGCCATCCCCAAGCGCACACGCACACGCACGCAAAAATCCGATGTAAACTAGCGGGCCTACCTGCAAGCACGTGCGCTCACAATGCGCACGCGCCCGTGCGCGCAATCTCACCTGGACGCGGAGGGGTGCTCCAACACAAAATCGGCTGCGGGGCTGCGCCCAAAGGTGTGGTGCCCGCTGCCGCCGCCGCCCCCCACCGGCCGCTCCTCAAGCTGCTGGCCGTTTTTCAGCACCTCGACGCGGTAGTCGAACCTGCGTCACAGGCCACACGGGGTCACCAGTTTGGCACAATACAAGGGGGAGGTGTGTGGAAAAGCAAAGGGTTGACCACAGATAACTCGGGTATGCGAGTCAGCCAGGTGCCGCCATTACTGCTGCCGCTGCTGGTCCCATGGCTGGCAGCAACCATCCCCATTTGTGCGTTCCCGGCAAGCCGTGTCGGTGGAAGGACCCTGCGTCTACTCACCCCTCCGGCGGGCCGCCCCACTCTGGCGGCTCGTACGGCGCCGGCGCTGCCCCTACGCCAGCACTGCTGCTGCCGCCGCGTGGAGGCGCCGCCGCTGCGTCCGCCCCGCCGACTGCGCGAGCAGTGCCGCCCTCACTGTCACCCGCCGCTGCTGCGGCGTCCACCACAGCGGCAGCACGATCGCTTTGAACCGCCAAAACCGCCTGCTGGATTGCGCGGTCGCGCTGGCCAGGGGTCACACTGGCAGCAGCGGCTGCGGCTGCAGCGGCGATGCGCGACTTGGCATCTGGGGGCGAGGGGAAAGGCATGGGGTCGGGGGCGGGCCATGCGTTGCAAGTGGCGCGCGCGCAGCGCGGCGATATGCACACACGCTATGCAAAGCTTCTGCCGCCCTATTCACCTGATCGAACGGGTGGGGGATTCATTTTGTAAACGCAGGTATGTCCGCGATTCTTTCCTGCTGCACACACACTGCCAGCTCAGATCATTGCAGCAATTGCATCCGCGAAGGGTCTCAACAAGACAGGTTTATATAATATCGCACACAGTAACTTTCGACAGGCGCTGTCTCTTCGGACAGCATCTACAGCTTCATGCGCACATCGGCTTGATGCAACACGGAAGTGAGGCAGCTACCGGTGCCGCAGCTAGCTGTACCCCCCTGGGACTAGCAATCCAGCACATAGACGACTGGGGTTGAGGGCAGGGGCGGTTATCCATGTCCATGTGCTGCAATCAACGCACTGCCAGTCAGGAAATCCCGCCACTTGGACAGCCAAAGCACCACTGCCTACTGCAACGCAGCCACCAGCAGAGGCAGTGCCGCTTTCAACAGCAGCTGCACGCCCACCAAAGTGGCCACACGCTAGTAGGTCTAGCGGCTGGATGCCTGGAATTTGAGGATATGACGCCGCATGATAGTCGCGTCAGCCCCTTGCTGTTGACGAATGAATAATGACGTGCCGCACCCAAACTGCACAATCCGGGGTGTTGGTTGGACACGTCTTCAGGTCCGCCTTGTCTATGGCTTAAGGAGTGTGCAGGGAGCGAGTCTATTGGGAAGATGCCTTCAAGCTAGTATCCTGAGGGCTAAGGAGTAAATAGGCCTTTCACAGGTAATCATCGCCTGGGAGCCGACTCACATGTGATCAGGCCTTACAGCATGCTGCATCTTGAGTGTTGGCGCCAACCGCTGGCAGCTTGCAGCCGTCCAAGTCATGCTGTCTTTTAGGTGAGGGGTATCCAGGCACCAGCTCCCAGTGTCCTGGTGCTTGTACGCGCTTTTGCCCAGGCATCCTGGCATCCTGACAGCGAATACGGGCAGTCCTCATGTTTTTGCGTTGCATGTTGTTGGCTTGCGATGGTCAGCAACCTGCTGGCCCGGCAGCCGTTTACCGCTCCTCTTCTGAGGGTGCGGGGTAGAAGGTGCGGGGCGACCAGGGCAGCGACTCGCCTGAGGCGCGAGGCGAGGCGAACGAGATGTGGGTGTGGATGGGATCGACCCCGCTGGGCGGGCGGGGCCCGTGATGTCGGGTGCGGGCGAGGTCACGCCACATGAAACCGCCGCGGCCGGCCGGGGCTGCGCCATCGCCTGAGCTGCGGGCCCACCTGTGCGTGCTCGAGGCCTTGTCTGGGCGTTGGTTGCCTCCAGCGCCGCTTCCAGGGGTGCCGCCGCAACGACCGTCATCACCTCCGGCCCAGCCACGCAGCGCCTGCGCTGGCGCGGGGCGTGGAGACGGCCCCAGGCCAGGCGCTGGTGCTGTCGCGGCCAGGGGGGCGGGCCGTGAGCCCAGCCGCCAGATTCGCCGCCTGCCGGAAGCGCAAGTGGCCAAGCAGGGCCCGCATCTGCAAGACGGCAGGTGGCCACCATCACATTCCAACACAGTCGAGCCTGGCGGCTCGAATGGGGGGAGGCACGGCTTCCACGCAACAGCGTGTGCCACCAATACGCCGCAGTCATCGACGCGCTCCAAGCGCCCCACCACCACTGCAACCCCCCGCGCCGCCGCCCCCGCCGATGCCACCAGCCGCCGCCGAAGCGGTAGCCGCGCCATCCGACAAGCCCCGAGCCTGAACTTGACCCGTGGCTGCGCGCCGGCCGCCGCCGCTGCGTGCGTCACCCAAGCAACCACGCCGCCGCCACACCACCGCAGCTCAAACCCAGACAAGCTCAAGGGCCGGCCCCGGCCTGGGAACCACGAGGGGCTCGCGCTGGCGAGCTCAAGGGCGTCAGACTGGGCGCTGTGCCAGTCCGCGCGCACCGCACGCTCCACGCCGTCGATGACGTCATCGACGACGTCAGCCGCTGCAAACTGCTGTCCCGTCACCTGCCGCCGGCAGCGCAGGTGCCACGCCGCCTCCAGGACCGCCAGGCGCAGATGCGCCCACAGCTCCCCACTGCTCGGGGCCGGCCGCCAAGCCGCAGGGCTGTACTGCAGCCACACCTCGGGCGAGAGGCGAGGGGCGGGTCCGCCCCCCTAGTGGGCGGCCACAACCGCGCCAGCCACTGCAGCGCCGGCCGCACCGCCGGGCACTCCATGAGCGCGTGCAGTAGCATCTCGGGCTGCCAATCGCTGCCGTGCTGCGGGTCCAAAGCTTGCTCTTGGTGACCGGCCACAAGCTTTAAGTCTCATTTTCTATGACAAACGCAAAGCAAAGCAAACCGGCCTGCTCCCACGCCCGCCGCTGCCCCACAGGTGCTGCCGGCGCCATCGAAGGCAGCCGGCACGCAGCACTTTCTTAATACATGTGAAGTCACATGACAAATCGACGACATCCGCGCAGATGCGGCTGCCCAAGCCCGGCCCCGCTGGGGGATCGCACACTAGGCGCGAAACGCCGCGCGACGCCAACTGAGAGTGAGCAGTGACTATGGTGATCGCAGGGACACAAGATCGGCAGCGGTAACACTCCCTCCGCCCCAACAGCAGGCCGAGCTGAGGAGGGCGACCCACGCACGACAAGATCCAGCCCGCCGGGAATGGCGTGCCCTGAAGGCTACGAGGCATGCGCAAACGAGACAAGCTCAGCCGTGCGACTGACGTGATAAATCTATCGACCCGGGGCCTGCAGCCCTAGCGAGCGCGGCCCAGGGTCCGCCAGCGCTCCGCGGCCCCCGCAGCCGTGTACCGCTCCTCATCCGAGGGTGCGGGGTAGCGGGCGCGGGGCGACCGCCGCAGGGACGCGCCCTGAGGCGCACGCCGGCGTGGCGTCGGTGAAGGTGATGGGACTCGCGGCGGGCAGGCGAGGCCTGCGAGGTGCGGCCACTTGGCCGCCGGCGGTGTCGCGCCCGCGCCGCTGACGCCCATTGGGGCGGCGCCGCCGCCCGAGCTGCGGGCCCGCCCGTGGCCGGTTGCGTTCCTGTCGGCCAGGCCGGCTGCAATGGTGCTGAACGAGGGGCGCACCGGGGCAGCCTCCAGGCCGCCCGCTCCGCTCATTCACGCAGCAGGCGCCTCCATGGCCTCCGCTGGGGGCGCCGCCTCTGCGCCGGCCGCGGCCGCCGGCCCATCCAGCGCCGGCGCTGCGGCTCCTGAGGATGGCCCCGGGCCCGGCACCGGCGCCACTGCGGCGGGGGGAGGATGGGCTGTGAGCGCTGCTGCCAGTGACGGGGCCTGCCACGAAAGCGCTGTGCATTCTGGCAGGGCCCGCATCGGCACGACGGGAGGTGGACGCCAGCACTGTCCAGCACGAGCGGCCCCTGCGGCTCGATTGGGGGAAGGCACGGCCCCTCCGCCGCATCATCCCCTGCAGCGGCCACCCGCTCAAGCGCCGCTGGCGGCTCCTCGACCCCCCGGCCCGGCGCCGCGGCGCCCGCGGCAGGCCGCATCGCCGATTCCGTGGGCGCCGCCGCCGCTGGCGTGGGGGTTGCAGCTGCTGCAGGGCCCGGCCCCGCCGGCGCGGCGGCCTGGTCCGCTGCACTCTGCGCAGCGAGAAGTGCGTCAAAGGCTCAGCACCTCGCTACCCCCATGTAACCGACTGTCCATAAAAAATGGGCTGCGTGAGCCCATTCCGCGCCAGTCTGCGGTTGACCGCCGGCCTTCTGCTCCCCCGATATTTCGTTCCATGCGAACGGGCCGGGCCCCAGCCTGCTGCGCGGCTGGACAAGGCTGAGGCCCTCCCGAGAAGACGGCCCCAGGGCAGCTGCCAGGTCGGCCACCACCGGGTCCTCCCGACCGGGGAGCGGCCTAGGGCCCTGCTCTGCCAGTGGGTGGGGGTCCGTGACCACCTGTGCGCTCTGACCAGGCGCGTTGCCGCCAAGGGCGCTGGAGGCGTAGAGCGCCGCGAGTGCCGACGCCGGCGCCAACGCCATGCTTGCCCATCAGGTTGCGCGCGAGCCCCTCGCTGGAAACGCGGCAGTGGCGCGGCCGGGTGGCACCGCCTCGACGCTGGCGTGGCGGCAGGCTGCGGCCGTGTGGAGCGGCGCGGCTTGGCGACCTCGACTGGTCTGACCAGTTTGCACCACCAGCCGCCGTGGCCGCTGAGTGGTCGGCAGCGCTCCGGAGCGCGATGCCGGAGTCGGCATGGCAAACGAGCGCGGATGGCTTGTGGGTACGGCACCAGGGGCCAGGCGGCGAGCGAGTGTACGGCGTTGACGCTGATGGTAGGCTGCAGCAGCTCTCTGCGTCCGCGGGCCAGCCGTCGGGGCCGACGGCGTGGGCGGCGTGCTGGTTTTTTTATAGACAGTCGGTTACACGCGGGTAGCGAGGTGCCGAGCACCTGCGTGCAACCTAGGTATCAACAGGTGAGCTGCGGCCATGTGCGGGGGAGCCCAGCGCGCGGCATGCGCGAGGGGCGTGCGTGGATATGGCACCGGGGGGAACCCCTCCAGACCCCC